ATTAGATTACTGTTCGCAAATAATTAAGGATGAGGAATGTTCTAGTTTTGGGGAAATGTCTTAGAACTGACGAACTTATGATGATGATAAGTTTATTTTCATCCTGTTCTTAGCTATCGTCTTGGTGTTCTCGAGCCCTCCTCATATATCTATAATTCAAAGGTCAAATGTTACACTTATCGTCATCAGTACATAAAAAGCCTGTAACTTAACAAAATATGAAAGAGGAAATATATTTGATATTTAACATGTTTCTTCAATCATTGTTTAATAATTATCCTTAACTATAAATAACAGCAGTATTTTAAAAGTATTAATTGCCGGTAACAAGTTTCTGTATTTCTTTTTGCAGTGAAATTGAAAAGATCTTTGAGTAATTTCAATGTCAATTATAAGTGACGTAAAACTTCGCATGTTTCATTGAGGTACTGTTTAAAATGTAAATGAGCATATTTTATAAAAATAAATAAACGGCATTAACAATTGACGGATTTATACAAAGAAGATTAAAAAGTCAGTGTTATGAAATTATGATAATTAATTAATTATTACATATGAAAAAAAAAAATAGAATTGTAAAAACTAACAGGTAAATTGTTTCCATCTGAATAAATGCATCTCTAAAGCAAATGTTATTTTCCTACTATAAATCTAATAACAATTATTCCATTGTTTTCTTTGTTGTTGGTAACCACAACAAATAAAATAGAAAATTCTTTTATGTAGATATTTATTGAAATGTTAATCTTACATAACATTAATTAAATATTTAGCAATAAATAGGTATCTTTTCAAGGTATTAGAGTCTTGTGCTATAAAGAAAAACGGAAATCTTAGGTGAGACATCCGTCATCATTTTACATTTTACGCTTTACGAAATAATTGAGCTCAACTTTTGACAATGGGTGCAATTTGTACGCATGTGGAAGTGTTTGGTTGCGATTCCCAGCCGATTCAATGTGTTTTCTTTTTTTACTTTTCTTTTCCTTTTTTTTATACGTTTCATTCTCTTCCATCATATATGTATAACAATATTATAACCGTAAGTACGTTTCTCAATACATTCTAAAATTGCACTTGTGTAAAACGGTAAAAGCTACGTGAAATGCCGTAAACGCGATCATTTTAAAATTAGAAGGACTAGGGTTTTGTAAAATCCTGCGCGACATTATCAAGCTGTTTAAAAGATATTTGCGAAGTAAATTACCAAAAGAAAGGTTTTTATCTTGCAATCATAACCTCTAAAAATGAAAAAGCCAATAGTAAAACATTTAACAATTGGAAGAAAGTTGAAAGAAAAAAACGGACCAAAACAAAAGATATTTTATGCTTTCACGGCCGGCGATATCTGAATCATGCTCGGTATTCTTTTTTATCCCTGGATAAACGACTACATCGGTGTTCTCACTGAAAGGGAATCAATCCACCTCTATCAATTCCGAAATTAGAACATTGTTCAGGGAGATATAAAGTGATGATCACTACAAAAATAAAATGATTCCCAATAAAATTAAAATCAGTAAAGTTTTCAAAACTGCTGTACTTAATAAAGTAAATAACATCTCACAAGTTTTGTGATAGTTACAAAAAAACAACGTTTTACTTTCGACTTTGATCAATTACTCAATAGAAAAAGTTACTGCTGTTATTTATAGTTAAGTAACGGAGCGGATTCGAATTTTTTTGTTGTAAAGGGAAAAGGAAAAGTAAAAAACGTTAGACAGACAGTAGCTACCTAATGGTTTGTAAATAACGTAAAGGTACCAACATCAAACCACTGTTGTAGAGATAAAACGAGAAAGAAATGAACAACTTCAGTTGTCAAGTCTATAAAGCATGTACCACGGACGTAAGTTTGTATTAACCAGCAGTAGCTGCAGCCAACGTAGTATTTAATTACAATTCACTTTCCTTTCGATTGAATAAAGTAAGTAGTACCAGGTCTGTTCAAAAAGTAACGCGACTTTTGTGTTTTTTCACAAATTATTTATCTATTTGTGAATATCAATTTTGTCCTCTTCAAAGTAATCTCCAGATATTATACACTTGTGCCAACGTTTTTTTTTCCAATCTTCAATCATTTTTTGTAATCTTGTTAAGCTTCTCCTTCGATGCCGTCTTTATCTCCTCAATTGTAGCGTAACGTCGTCCTTTCATGGGTCTCTTCATTTTCGGGAACAAGAGAAGGTCACAGGGGGGCAGATCTGCGAAATACCTGTATGATTATAGGTCAAAAATTCGCGCACAAGCAACGATGTGTCAGCAGGGGCGTTATCATGGTGCCAAAACCAATTTTTGTTGTTCCACAAATCCGGGCGTTTCTGGCGGATTGATTCGCACAAATTGCACATAACTTGCAGGTAATATTCCTTAATGATTGTGGCAAGAACTCATGATGTACCACGCCCCTGTAATCGAAGAAAACTATAAGCAAAACCTTCACATTCGACCTAACTGGGCGCACTTTTTTCGGTCTTGGCTCGTGCTGCAGCTTCCATTGGGATGATAGAGCTTTGGTTTCCACGTCATAACCATAAACTCAGTTATGACCCTACAACTTGTAGGTAATATTCCTTATTAACTGTTCTACCCTGTGGCAGGAACTCATGATGCACCACGCCTCTGCAATCGAAGAAAACTGTAAGCAAAACCTTCACATTCGACCTAACTTGGTGCTCTTTTTTCGGGCATGACTCGTGCTGCAGCTTCCATTGGGATGATTGAGCTTTGGTTTCCACATCATAACCATAAACCGATGATTCATCACCAGTTATGACCCTCTGGAGCAAATTTGGATCGTCGCGGACAAAGTCCAACAGTTCCTTAGGAATGTTGGTCGAAATTGAGCAATTTTAGTACGAATTTCGCGGCGACCCATCTCATGCCCAAATCATTGGTAACAATCAAAGGACAGGAGCCAATCGATATGTTTCGGTCCTCAATAACTTCTCTAACGGCGATTCGACGATTGGCTAAAGCTATTTTCTTCACTTTATCAATGCTTTCGTTTGTTGTTGACGTGCTCGGGCACGCTCTTCGTCTTTCGCATCTTCTCGGCCCTCTGAGAACATTTTGTACCACCAATAAACGTTGCTTCTGTCCAAGGTAGCTTAACCATATCCCACAGTCAACATTTGGAATGTGTCCGCGCACTTAATTTTGTTTTCACACAAAATTTGATACAGATTCAATTCCATTTTTGGAATAGGCAAAAATCGAAAACGAACCAAAACATCTGCAAGCAACGCAGCTGTCAAAAATTAACTGAACTTGTCGGTATAAGTGAGTACCAATATAACGCCACAAAAAAATCGAAAACCGGAAATTCAAAATTTGCGATACGTTTTGAACAGATCTCGTATATGTTTGTAGTAATCGAGATAGAAACAAAGTATCTAGAGAGGAGTCTTGTAATGGAATCAGAGCATACAAGACCAGTTCATATATTAGAGAAAAAGGCGACATTTCCGGGTGAAGTAAACGGGAAGCAAGCACTTTTACTCCTTTACTCCTTCTTGTAATGTTCTTTTCACTAGTAGAATTCAAGTCGTGAAATTGAACACACTAGGAAATAACTGCAAAAGTATCTTAGGGCTTGGCATGGGGATAATATGTTAATTTCTACAATGTTACGTATATTCAAAATACACTTGAGAACGTTGGGATTGTTGACGACTATTTTTTAAGTAGATTATAATTTAAAGAGTTAACAAAAAATACTTACCCTTCTGTAAACCTAACACCACCAATTACAAAAGTGTTTATTGTAGATAGTCCCTTAAATAATTTACTTCATAATAATAATCTAAAACAGACTGGGGAAATCGGTCAGACGTTTATATAGGACAAACCGGACGTACTTTTAAAAAACGTGTTCGTGAACATAATTACACAATTAATAAAAAATGTTTACCCTTCTTGTAGGCAGTCCCTCAAATAATTTACTTCATACTTATAATAATATAAAAGAAACAAGGGAAATCGGTCAGGTGTTATATAGGACAGAGCGCACGTACCTTTAAAATCGTATTGGTGAACACTACATTTCAAGTCATTCAGCTGTTAAGTTACACATTTAATAAAGAATATTTACCCTTCTATTAAATGTAATACTATCAACTACAAAATATTTATTGTATATGGTCCATCAAATAATTCAAATCATAACAATAATCTAATACAAACAGGGGAAATCGGTCAGATTTACATAGGATAGGCTGGACGTATTTTTAAAATTATATAGTATTTACTAATGTTGGATTGTACTTATTGTTATAAGTTTTCAATTTCCTTTATTTTAAATTATTTTTCACTCTTTTTTATTTCATTAAAACAGAAAAGTATGTATAACTAAAGCATTATATGAATAAATAAAATCTTATTTACCTCATTATTATTTCTACCATTCTATTAATAGTAATGAAACAATAAGAGATTTTTGATTAAATAGAATGCAAAATTTTTAAAATAAATACAATTAATGCTTTGTGGATGTTCTAAGAAAAACTACTTCTTCTGTTTTCTTGACTATATTGTTTATTATTCGGTAAATCCATTTTTCTATAAAATCTTTTAGTATATTAGAATTTACATAAAATTTCAAACTACTTTTGTTTCCATCTAAAGTGTTTCCATAATAGGTACATTTTATTTTCTTTAAATCAAAAACATTTTTACCATTTCTATATCAAAAGAATTATCTGTTTACATATTTAGAGATGATAAATTCCTGCAATGTACTATCTGTTTGTCATACTTATCGGACTGAATCAAGGTTTGCTGATCTATATAAAAAACTCCTCTCGTTCGGCATAGCCGAAGGATAGCGATGTTTACCTTTGAGTGTATCTAGTAATAAAGGATAGAACGCGAACGTTAACGAATAAAACAAGGATGGTGGATAAAACACAAGAATGCTGGAATTTAGTTTGTTGGCAACAAGTGAATGTCAAACATGTTAGAACAAAATTGTGAGATATTGCTTTCGGTGATTATTATCGATAAGGTGCATTAGATTTTTGGGTATATACATAATAGTAAAGTGAAATTATTGTGTGAAAACAATGAAACAGTTTCTACTAAATGGTAAGTTTTGTTGAGGTACTTTTAAATACATTTTTTTTGTGAAGTACAATAAGATTAGAAGAACGAAAGAGAAAAATTGGTTTCGAATAAAGCATCTCACAACATTATCGATTTGATAAGTGATGAAAATATTACTTCATTTATTATCAATTCATCTTGACTGTGCTAACATACATATTTAAGCGCTTTTCTTCTGTTTTACTGAAATTAGCATTTATTACTGCGAATGCCTATTCGTTGTTATGTATTAGAAAGTCAATAGTGACAACGTAGCAATGATATTAATTAATAAATTTGAATAAAACTATCTTCAGAACTACTATAGATAAAACTAGTTGCGCAAAAATTGCACCCACAAAATTGTCGGTTATTATGTATCAGGTATGCAAGGTATTACACTCATGGACTTACTTGTTTTTATTAATATACTAAGCCGTAAAAATTAATTACCATTCGGGAACGTTCTCGAACCTTCTGGAAATTTCTAAAGGATACTCGAAACCTGTAGATAAAGGAGATACAGGAAAAATCAGTGACTTTCTGTAATTCTTATCAGACGTCGGAACTCAATTTACACCTTTACTCACTCTCCATATGAAGTTCTTTGGAGCGACAACCTTTTAACCCCCATATTTATGAAGTCAACCCATGCTGTTGAATACCGCATACTTTTTTCATGTACGGGGGATGGAAAGCTATCATACCATATAACCCCCATGAGGTCACGAGATTCGGTTGAGGAGCTTTAGTGGAACGTAGGAATAAATTACACTTACATTTATTATATACATTCTGGAACCTTCCAGAAGATTCTAAAAGGTTCTCAAACCCTGTTGATTTAGGGCATTCAAGAAAAGTCTGCCGCATTCTGTAACGTTCTGACCAGACGTCGGAACTGAAGTATGTAACACCTTTACTGACTCTCTATATGAAGTCCTTTGGGCCGATAGCTTTTTGACCCCATGTCTTTGAAGCTAATCTCTTCAGTTTTTTTACCAACGGGAAATGGAATTCTTTTGTGTAACTTTAGCGGCACGTACGGACAAACTAAACTTAGTTTTATTATATTCAAGTCGGATTGCTCTCGATTCGCTCAGGGAAAATTAATTATTATTCGGAAACGTTCTCGAAGCTTCTAGAAAATTCCAAATCATTCGCAAACCCTGTAGATGTATGGCATTTAGAAAAAATCCGTGGCATTCTGTAACGTTTTGACCGGATGTCGGAACTGAATGAACACATTCACTGACTCTGTTTATGGAGTCTTTTGGGGCGGTAGTCTTTTAACCCCCATATCTTTGAAACCAAACTATGCAGCTGAAAACCAAAACTTTGTAATATACCACATACATTTATTATATGTATATGTATAGTATGTTGATATTGATATATTGATAAACTTAAAAATATATTGCAGAGTGATTTGTAGTGAATTTTTCTTCACCTTTGGTGATAGGAAGATTATAAATTTTAAGAAGAATTTTTGCAAATGCAAACAGAGTTGCTTCATTGTTTTTAAAAAGCTTCTTTCGTAGAGCAATTCGTGTACTATTTATAAGGTATGTAAACATTACCGAGCAGTTTAGCATGGGAATCATTACCTCACACGAGCGACAAAACAGCTTGGAAAACAGCAAGAAATACCGATTTAACGGCACACCTTTGTGTGGCAATTAAATTTCCACGCTCGCGTCCTTGATGGTGCTAATAAACTTCTATTAAAACGGTCTCTATTAAACTTGTACTTATTTGTTTTATTACGAATTAGACTAGTCGTATGCTTACCGTAATCGTATTGGTCGACGATGAATAAAATCAATTAATTAATCATCTGCTAATATGAATAAAAAGTTTGTTCTTTTTCAACTAATTTCTTTCTAAATTAAGGATGAACCGCTGAATAGATAAGTAAAAACATTAGTTGTAATGTCTTTAGAGAATAGATAGAATAAATTAAAATACTCATTATCAATAACATTAAAAATTTTCTAATCTATTTACTTACCTAATAGCAATCAGGTAAGATAAGTAGTTTTTGCGCATGTCGCAGCTAGATATGTCTATTACCATACATCAAATTAAACATCTCGATATTCTACGTCTATTAAAAAAGACTGCGAGGCGATCGGCCACACGGCTCACGCGCGTATGATTGAAACGTGCAACATAAAAGTACTTGATGGCAGGTATTTTCCTAGAAATGTAAAGTAGAATGTAATGATAATCGTGATAGTGCCATTCTAAAGTAGCTCACAGAAAATGCTCTAATTAATAAGTGTAGTTTGTCAGATTCATCAATAACTTTTTTCTACGCCTTAAGTTTTGGTTTATGAATAAGTTCTATTTTGTTTCGGGGAAAATACTATGTACCGTACTGTTTCACAAGCGGGGTCAATACAATTATCATAGAACATGCAAAAAATTCTTACTGTCTGTTTTTAAGAGAAGCAATTGAGTAACAATTGCGTATTGTACAATACAATACAAACAGCTAAACAACTGCCTAAAAGCTATTCGGCCGATTTTTTTACTTATTTCGTAATAGAAAACAAAGAATCCATTTTAAGTTATCTCCGTACCGATTGCAATGGGAAATTCGAAAACAACATTAAAACCAACCAGTTCTTCTGTCAAATAAAACAAATACGCTTTTACTTTTAACTTGCATCCTTTTTTGATATGTCAAAAATTTTGTGAAAGTATTTTATTTTATATTATATTAAAATCAAACAGGTAGCAGCTTTCAAACAGTTTTTTTTTTGATTAGGATTGATATTTTGTAACATTTATGTAAATATTCCTGAATTAATTAAATTTAGAATTTTTGTTATCCAATGTCATTAAATAAGAATTCAGTATTTCGGAATGGTTTTTATTTCAATTTTCTCGTTCGAAAGAAATTAGATAGAAATTACCTAATCACAATCATTTCAAAACGCAATCCTAGATAGTTTTATGTTGTGTAATAATAAGTAGGCTCAACAAATAATGAATGTCAATACTAAATCTATTTAAGTAAATCATGAAAATCAACTTTGGACTAATTCAAATAGCAATGTGTATCAATAGAGTCCTGTAAATATTAGATAACATCATTACCTGACTTCTAATAATTGGGCTGTTCCCTTTTAAAGTGGGTACCTAAAATTTTTGTAGGCATACACTAATAGCGAGTTGAAAACCAAGCATAGGGATAGTCTATTTCTTATTACACGCAATCATCAAAAGAATTTCAAAAATACGAAATGGTACAAGAAAACTTNCTAATTTATTCATTTATATTTCAGATATTATCAAAGGGTTTACAAACAACATAATATGTATAAGTCAGTGTTTTTTATTTATCATAGTTTCATATTAGGCGACATACAGGTGAATATTTTACCCATTCTGTATACATATATGTATACAAAACGAGCGTAATTTTTTGTTATTTTTAAAAATTATCACCAGAGTACGAACTATCCGGAAATGAACTTGATGTTATAAATAGAATACACATACCTATAATTATATATTATTTTCAAGGAAGTGCTTCAGCCATGCTAAACGAAAGCACAAATATTTTTGTTTATGTAACGGATTTACTCGCAGCAAATTTTATGTGTTAAAATTAAGTCACTTAATTAACTACGTTTATTTAATTAATAATGGTTTGTTTTTCTGACAATGATTTTTGTAACTCATACAGTAATTGTACTTTTTTGTCTCCAAAATTTTTAATATTTTGCTTATTAGTACATTGCTATAGCCTTATGACGTCAGTATTCACTTAAACACTTCTCAGGAAAAGAAAAAATACGTTGAACGCGGTCACATGTAAAACTGTGCCCATTAGGTCAAAATCTCCACAACCAATGAAACTGATAGTAAAAACTTTAAACATTTTACTCCTTACATACATTTATTAAATGAAAACCAACACTTTATAGATAATTTAGAAATTTTACACAAACTAAGTCAATAAAATTAAATCTGCTAGAGTATTGAGTTATTCATAAATTCAATAAATGAAATTTAATTCTTAATGTTCAAATGGATAAACAATTCGTCAATTTTTAAATTTATTTCAAATGTTATATGTGTCGTAATAAGTATCTAGGGAAATTTATTAAACTGGAAATTCCAGCACCAAAACCATAAGACAGTCAAACCAGTAGGTACATATTCTCAAGTTTGGCATTCGATGGTCCATATCTTCGTAAAATTTTAACGAAATATTGGATTATTTCTCTCATATTGCGTACATTTTAATTTCGCATTTGCTTTCAGTTTCCCAGTAAAATAATTAGTCGTGTAAAGGTAGGCGCGCACAGGAGGTCAGCGGGCGGGCGAACCGCAGCGAAAATATCAAACACATATGCGTCAGTTGCGCCCTGCGATCAATGTTCTAGTTTGTCAACAGTTACGAGCACCAAGAATTTTAGCGAAGAGCTTATAATAAAACTCAAAAGTACTGAGGATTAAACGATGTTAAACGCAAGAATTATGGAAACGTTCACCGATAAGAAGAAATCTGAAAAACGCCAGTTTGTGTGCTGTTTTCTCACTTTCGGTTCGGTTCACTACTTAGAGGTTAGACCATTGCTTAGCATTCGGGAGGACGCCGGTTCGATTCCGGGTCCGTCTGCCTTGGTCCAAGTTTTTCTGTGGTTTCCTTGGATCACTTAGGCAGATGCTGGGGCAGTAATATTCCACAGATAATCTTTCATTCTCTTCTGTCTTCATTTCGTCCGTCTCATCTTTCTCACCCGAACCACCACCCATCCATTCCCACGATTCCTGAAAGCAGGCTGAAGAAGGCCTTCCGCCCTAGCTTCCGGCGTAGTCCGGAGGGACTGCCCGCCCACCAACATTACTGGTTGGTGGGAATGAAACACCCAAAAGTTTTTTTTTTCACTACTTCAGCACTGGAAATTTCTTCTTGACAAGTCGCCAATAACCATATTACATATATTTTGCTGTCAAATTAGTTTTATTTTCCGTACTTTCTGAAATTC